CCCCTATTGGGAATTAAATAATTTTATGAATATATGACTTAGCAGAGATTATCGATCGATGGCGTCTAGAATTTTTATCTATTATTAATATTTTCATTAAAGTTGATGCTTTATGGCCTATTCCTAAAAAATGGTCTAGAGGGGTAACAACATTAAGGATTTATCCTAGTCTAAAAATCACCGTCAGCAATCACTTTTCGGACCCATTCATCCAACAGGCAATCCATGCAGCAACTCAACGCCTTCAAGATTTTTTGACAGACGAGAAATTTTCTCCACCAAATAAAAATAATTTTCCGGAAGAAGTATCTTACAGAGTGCTGGAAGCACTTCATATCGAATTGCAATCGGGAGATGCTGAGCTGTCATTAGATACTGATGAATCGTATGATTTGTGGATTCCCACTGCCGCGCCGTTGTTGTTATCTTTGAAGGCGCAGTTACGAGCGAAAACTGTGTATGGAGTCTTGCATGGACTGACTACGCTCTCGCAACTGGTTTACGAAAATGATGAAATGTTGGTTTTACCATTCGCGCCGCATCGTATCATTGATTCACCGGAATATCGACATCGTGGTCTATTGTTGGATACTTCAAGGAATTATTATCCGGTCGAAGATATTTTGCGCACACTAGATGTAATGAGCTGGACCAAGTTAAATGTATTTCATTGGCACATAGTGGATCAACACAGCTGGCCGGTAGTCAGTGAAGTTTTCCCAGAGTTGAGTGAGAAAGGTGCATATGATCCAAAGAAAATGATTTATACGCGACAAGATATCGATACAATCGTTCATTTTGCTAGACAGGTGAGAATTTGTATTTTTGTATTTTTTTTAATGAATAAGCGATGAAAAGTAGAAAGCATTTTGATGCTGATTTTTTAGAGAGGAATTCGAGTAATTCCTGAATTCGATATGCCTGGTCATACTGCTTCCATTGCTCCAAGTCATCCTGAACTGTAAATATAATTCTTCTTTATATGTTAATTCGCAATTCCAAATACTTTCCATAATTACCCATTACATATATTTACATTACTATGCAATAATAGCATATTGTGTCCCAATACCCAGCCAAATTGGAACGATGCAAGTATTTAATGAATTATGATTGTGCTGCCATTTTTATATAAGAATTAATTTACATTAAAAAATACATAAAAAGCATGCTTATGAACCACCAAGCGGCCAATTCGACCCAACCGCCGACGAAACATATGTATTCATTGATAAACTAATCGCCGAAATGGCATCCTGGTTCCCAGATAAATATTTTCACGGAGGTGGAGATGAAGTAAATCTACGATGCTGGTACGAGGCGCCTAGAGTCCAAGAATATATGGCACTCACTAATAATACCACCACCAACACCGATAATCCTCTTGATACCAACATCCAATGTAATTACAATGATCCCGATATAATAAGCACAACAATGGAACCTCTTGTCCACAAATTTGTCACTAAACAACATGAAATTATCAGAAATCAAGGAAAAATTCCAATGGCATGGCAGGAACTAATCGTTAATCAGCGCTTGAATCTTGGCAAAGATATAATTGTGCAGGTTTGGAATGGTGATGAAAATGTAAAGCGGGTGGTTCACGCTGGGTATAAGGTTGTCTCGGGGCCGGCTGGGTTTTGGTATCTGGATTGTGGTCATGGAAATTGGTTGGGTAACTATGTCGAAGGAAATAGTTGGTGAGTTCATAGTTTCACTCATTATTGGATCAAATTTGATCTTTGCTAATGTAATATATTTCACTAGGTGCGGTCATTTCAAAACTTGGCAATGGATGTACACTTATAATCCTCGAAACGGGCTCAATAAAAAAGAAGCAGAATTAGTCATCGGAGGTAAAAATTCTAGACGCCATCGATCGATAATCTCTGCTAAGTCATATATTCATAAAATTATTTAATTCCCAATAGGGG